TTGCATCAGGGCACAGAGGACCTGCTGAGCAAGTGGCACCAAGCGGCGCTGGGAAGAAAGTGGCTGAAGGCCAGCTGTTTCCTTTCTCCAGGGCTGCCCTCCAGAGTATCACAAACTGGCTGGCTTTAAACAACAAAAATGCATCCCCTTACAGCTCTGGAGGCCAGGTGCCAGCAAGGCCATGCGCCCTCTGAAGGCTCCGGTGAAGGATCAGCCCTTGCCTCTCCTTGCTCCTGGTGGCTGCTGGCAGTTGTTGGCATCCATGGCCTTCACGTGACTCCCATCCCTGCCTCCATCACCACGTGGCCTTCTCTCTGCTTTCGTCTGGATGTCTCCAAATCTCTCTCCTTATGAAGTCCAGCCACTGGGTCTAAAGCCCACCCTAATCCAGCGTGACCTCATCCTAGCTGATGACGTCTGCAAAGACTGTATTTCCAAATAAGGCCACAGACACTGGGGATTAGGACTTCCACATGTCCTTTGGGGGAACACGATTCAACCCACAACACCAACATTTCTGAGTGTGTTCTTTCTCGCTTCCTAGACGTGTAGGGACTGAACAACAGAATCTGAGAAGGTGCTTCTACAGGTGTGTCCAGTACCTAGCACGGACCCCTGGGCCGTCGACACCCCTGGGCTCTCCTGCATTGTTGCCAATGTGATTTTCTTTGCTCCAGCTATTGAAGTTGGTTGCCTGTTTCTATGTCCTTAAGTGAATATCTTTGCTAAAATGGAATATTCCACCTGGAAGAGATCAAAACTTCTCACAGCCAACAGAGACTCCCCAGGGTTCTGGAAATAGAACATGAAGGCAATTTTTTGGCGTAAGAGAGAACACTTAAGGGTCCTGGATGGCGTTAGACGTTACCTGGTCTGACACTGTGGGTGCAGGGCTGTACGGTTGAAAGCAGACTCAGTGAAAGTGGCCCGTGGGGCCATGTCAACAGGGGGGACCCCTGTGCATCTCCACGCCGTCCTGAGCACTCCAGGATCGCATGGGCAAAGCCTGGCTTTTGGAAGCTTGTGGTCTGAAGCTCCAAGTTCCCTCATACCAGAAACACTTTCCTAAGTCTGCAACTGAAGCTACGTAAGAAGAAAGTCGGACAGCGTTCCAGCAGCAGAGCACTCTCCATGCTTCCTGGAAGGGCTTGGAAAACATTGTGTGTCCAGAGGAAGCTCTGCCCATGTGAGCTGCAGCCCTGGGGAGCTGTTTCTTTTGCTGTTTTTTCCCCTCTGGCAGATGTTTGTGTGGAAATGTGATCTTTAATTCCTTAAAAGACCCATCTCCCTGGAGTTAATTCCTCTTTTGAAGTCCTAATCTTCTGTGTAAAGCTTTCTGGTCATCTTGACTCCAAGTAAAGTGTTACAGGTCACAGATGGAAAATTATGTGGGCTCTTTGCATACCATTTGGTTATAGAAGAAGATAAGTGTAGCGCCGGAGCCCACTGGAAATAGAGTTTGGCTGTCTTCCATCATTCCTGACAACTAGCATCTGATATAATTCTTTCACAAATACACTCAGAGGAGGTAAACAAATCTGATTTTCTTCTTGAGCATCTCCATTATGATGGATGTTGCCCCCGTGCTTGTAAAGAGCAGAGCTGCAAATTCACAGGAACCCTCCAGATTCTGGACACGTGCGACCTGTCTTGAGATTCACGCTGTTTGGAGCTGCTAGTGCAGGAAACAGACAAGAGCTCGCCACCAGTTGATACTTGTCTCCTCTGCCTAAGGCCTGAAGTCCCTGCCGACTTCAGAGCTGCTGCAGGAAACACGTAGGATGTGTCCTGGGAGCTCCCCTGGCTACTTTCAGCTCCCCCAGGGTGTGAACAGCCGCAGACCTGATGCAGAGCTGCTGGGCGCGTCTCTACTCTGGATTCTCCTCTGGCCCCTGCAGAGATAGGAGTCTAGGGAAGGTTGGATCCAAGAAGAGAAGGAAAGTGCCCCCGTGTGCAGTCTTCCTGCCTTCTGTCCTTCCTCCCGCCTTCCCCAGCTGCTTGAGAATGGCCAGCCAGAGGAGTACTGACCCTGCCGGAATTGTTGGGAAACAGTCCACACTGTAGTGGCTACACTTGGCTTGTGCACAAGAATAACGCTTTTTTCTGAGTGAGACCCAGGCGGCCAGCCTCTCCTGCACCTGACTGCTGAGGACCGCACAGTGCGAGCATTCGATTAAAGTTACGTGCCGTTTACCGCAAGGGCACGTTGTGCTTGAAACTTTGAAATAATGCTTGCATTTCACATGCACTTACAGTCTCACTTTCTTGTTGTATTGAAAATGTCCAAACAGATTCTGTGTGTGGGAAGGAAGGACACATGAGCACTGAGTGATGAAGGAAATGCAGGAACACTAAGCCTGTTGGGTCTGTGCGACGCATTCCTTCCCCTGCCTGCAGAAGATGCGGATGCTTTCCTCCTGGGTGGGTGGCGGGGCCGGTGGCGGGGCTGTGCCCGGAGGCCCTCTATCCTTCCATCCCCAAAGGGTTCCAGGCTGAGTGGAGCGGGAGGAGGAGCCGCCCGGGGCTCCAGCAGCTCCAGTCTCAGGGCTGTGGTGCTCGGTCTCCCTCTGGCCCCACCCTGTGCTCCGCCTGGTGACCTGCGGGCCCTAGAAAGTCTGGGTGAGAGCATCCATGGATGCCTGGTCACACCCACAGGAGCAGACTTCCTAGTGAGTCTTAGGAAGAGCAAAGCCCTGAGGCCCGTGGTGGTAAAAGAGTCCCCAGACAGCCACCCTGTGTGTGTGTCACCTCTGTCACTTAACTCGCTCCCGCCTCATTGGTTCAGGCATTTAGAATCTGGTACCTAATTAACACTTGACAGATGTGAGCTATTATTCTGTCTGCCAAACTCAGTTGACCTGGGCGCTGCAGGGATAGCCCTGCTGCCTGTCCCTCTGAGTGAGAGCTCGTGTCCAGCAGGGTGGTGTGCCCAGGATTTAGCTAACCCTCGGCCCTCCGGGCCCTGGTGGCCCACTATGGACATGACACCTCTATCCTTGGAGCTGTGACCACGGTTGGGTCTCTGCTATCTGATGAGAACCGTCTCCCAGGAGAGAGGAGAGAAGCACTTCTGTGTGCCCGTTACACCTTTGTGACAGGCCACACGTGTCATCCTTCAGCTGTTACCTCAACCCAAGAAGGCAGTTCCCAGTAAAAATGGTGCATATTTATTGCACGCTTATTACTTGCCTGACACTGTTCTGAGCGCTGTCCCATATGGGGACTCATTTACTCACTCAATTACAATGTGTCAGTCTCTCGTGTACAGCTACAGCACAGTGTCCCCGCCATGCATATACATGCATATATTCATTTTCATATTTTTCTCATTAAAGGTTATTACAAGATATTGAGCATAGTTCCCTGTGCTATACAAAAGAAACTTTTTTAAAAAACCTATTTTGATGTATAGTGGCTAACGTTTGTAAATATCAAACTCTGATCGTCTGTTTCTGTTTTGTAGATGAGTTCGTAGTGGACTCATTTATTCTTTACAACATTCTGATAAGAGAGCTACTGATTTTATCCTGTGGTTTTAGAGGAGGAAACTGAAGAATCAGTGTATGCCTGAGGTCATACAAAGGTGACAGAGCTAGTATTTGAAGCTGGGATGTGGCTTTGGTTCTGGCTTCCAGGTTACAGATACTCAGGTGCTACTTTGAACCTGGCATTGCCCAGATTGTGTTTCTAGAGGGGCTGCCATGAACTCAGCCCTCGAACTTGTTCTTCAGAAGAGAAGGGCAGCAAATGTTTAGCAGCACATTGTGATCAGGGCACTGCTGGAATTGGAAATAAGGAGTGGAGGCAGCACCAAAAAGGGAATGAGTAACTCAGTGAAAGGAGAGGAAATGTTTCTTGGGGAGGTGACTTGTGAGCTGGGTTTTGAAGATTAAATAGGAGTTCACCCAGTGTACCTAGTAGGACATAACAGTCAGAAGAAATAACATGCAGAGGACACAGATAGGAAAGAGCAGGCATTTTTGAAGGTGGGTCTACTGCAAGTACTTTCGCATGGATGAGTGATAAATAGCAGGGGAAAGTAGTGCCTGTGTGTTGAGGCCACAGAAGCAGAGAGAGCGGAAAGGAGAGGGCCTAGGTTACCATGCCAGGGAACCCGATTTTATCCTGAGCACACAGACAATTGAACATCACAATTTTAAAGCAAGGTCAAAATACCCAAACCTTGATGGAGTTAGTACTCCTGTTTTTCCCTGGTTTTATTTTTATGATTATTGAAGGAAAAGGTTACAAAAGTCAGTAAGTTCCATATCCGACGTGTGTTACCATTGGGCTAAAGAATGTTGGTGTTTAATCTCCTCCACTGTTTCCCCATTTTTTTCATCAGCAATTCTCTTTGGCAAAAGTTATTCTCAGATGCCAGGATAAGTATTTCTGAGTTTTTTTTTTTAATGTTTTTAAGTGCCTTTGATTGCATAAGAGCTCGTGTAGAACCGTTTCCAGTAGTATCTTTATAGCAGGAATGGAGACTAAGACTGATTATGTAATTGTTCCCTCAGTTTATTCTCAGAGCGTAAAATGCTGCCAGCATATAAAAAACCCGAATGATCACAGTGGCATCCGAGTGTCTTTCCTGCTCACGGTTTCTGGCGCTGTTGCTCTTGCATTGTTTACTGCAAAGTAGAAATGGATGGTTTAAATGTGGCGTGACTGTTTGCTCAGCACTGGGCCCCCAGACTCATAGCTCGTCTGCTCCGTCTTGTCCGTGCAGCCCACAGCCAGCACTTCTCACCGGAGAGGGGACTCACGTGTGCTCCTTGGAGACCCTCGCCGGAGTCTCACCACGTTAACATTTGGATAAGGAGAGGCAGCGGACTTCTGCTGCACTGAGGTTGCATTTTGCAAGAGAGCAGAACGCCATCTGTCAGGGGAGGGGGCGGGAGTGCGCAGATACAGCTATGAATGCTTAATTGCTATAGAATTTTTGTTTTAATTTGAGAGCCTTTGCATTTAGTTTGTGTATTTGTTATTTTTTTTTTTAGAATAGTCCTTATCAGTGGCAGAAGATCCTTCTGTAGTATATTTTCAGTGCTGCCATATCGCGACAACGCCCAAGTTGGGTATGTATACGCATGCTTGCTTTGTAGTTCTCTGGGTGAAAACTTCTGACTCCATGTGTCCAATGTGGCCACCCTTTCTATGTCAAAGACCTTGCGTTGCTTTGACACTGCAAATTCAATTTTTGTAAACTTGAAAGAGAAAAAAAGTTCCACTTTCTTTTCAGCCAGAAAGCTTCCTTGTTACTGTTGCGCATGTGTGTGTGCATGTGCGTCCTTACCATACCGCCTGCTGTTTCTAAACATGCATTTCGTCACCTCTTCCAATACGGTAAAGCCAGAGCAGTCTGGGGCCCACTCATCCCACAGGGCCTCATCGACTTTTGGGAAAAGGTAGGTCAGGAAAGGAGTCGGACAAATCATGTGGTCATCCTGCTTCCTTGCATCCGGGGCTTGGGGCTGGACACTGCCCAGCAAGCTGGAGCAAGTATCAAAGCCAAGTGGTATCAGGAACAGGCCTGTGTGATTCACCACAGGCCAGAGGAACACACAACTCTCTCGTTCAACAAGCCCGTCCTTCTAAAGCTCTAAAAAGAAGTGGGTAAGTGAGGCTCTGACCTGGCAGAGCCCTGTCTCCTCATTCGCATCCCCAGACTCTGTGCCGTTGCTCCCCGAGTCTCACTCCTTGTCCCCTCACCTGTTCACTGCACCCACTGTATGCCGTTTGTTGTCAGGGAGCTGCTGGTACTTAGGGCAGGACAGTTACCTGCATAGGATGCCAGGAGCATTAGAGGATGTCGGCTCCGTTTTCTGCAGACTGAATGCTGGGGTTGCCCTCCAGTCATTGTAACAGCAACACATGACCACTGCCCCTTAGGAGGGAGCATGGCCCCAGTGCTGATCCACCATTTATTTATCTTCTAGCATCTTCCATGGGCTCTGCCTGGTCGTCTCCATTCACCAGGACCTTCCCTTTCCCCTGCACACCTGTCAGACCTCCGGCCTGTTAAATTCACCATGGTCCTTATTTTTAACTTTACCCTGTAAGGTCCATGGGACAGGACAGAGAGCATCTTTATTCGTGGGATGCTGACTCAGTCATTTATTAGATGCGTGCCTTAAAGAGCAACAATAATCTTACTGTTTATTGAGCACTTACTTCGTGCCAGTCCTCTTTCTTATCTGCATCCTTATGACAACCTTGCAGAGTAGGTGTCGTAAAAAGTGTAAAGCAAATCCTGTAGCTCAGAGGTTCAAGGACCACTTGGGCATGGCCAGCGGGCTGCCCTCAAGAGACATCTACTCTACTATGTAGAGTGAAAACAGAAAGGCTTTCTTTATCTTTTTAACCTGCTATGGTCCTGGGTCTGGCCACCCCTGAGAGCAGACTCATTTCTTGGGGACAGTGGCTTGTACCAGCACACAGACCTATGGGCGACCGGAAGGCCAGTTCACTAATCCCAGTTACAAGTAACGGCCCCCAGGCTCAGAGTGTTTGACTGTGACCAGCCTGTAAGCACACTTCCAGGGGAACTGAATCATCAGCAGGAGGCTGTCTGCAAGTACGACCTCTCACAGCCAGGACCTGCCTGGGCAGTGCGGTGCTGGCCTTATTTTTCTGGGCTTCCCTGGCTGACCTCTCTGATTAATGTAATTTTTCCTTGGCTATGTTCCATTCATTCATTCACTGGGTGCTTACTATGTGACTAGGTCCTGGGGGTAAAGATAGTGAAAGATGGTCCTGGTTCCTGGAACTTAAAGCCAAGAGGGGAGACACACGAGAGTGCTGGGAAACAGGGGTCTGTCAGAGCCCAGGTCTCCTTCCCCGCTGCTGGGAAGGGCTGGTGTGTTTCAGGAGGGTGTGTCACAGGACGTACCACTATTCTGCCGGTTGGACCAGATAAAGAAGCAAAACCAGTGTGTGGGATCACAGGACATAACCTTTACATCCTAGACATGAATAAACTCAAACGCACCACTCCTTCAGGTTTCATAGATGAAGAAATCATAGTGCAAAAGGGTTCATTTTCTATAACAGAACGCATACTCGGATCTTTTGTAAACACCTAACAGAAAAAACATGCCTGTTTCTGCGGCCTATCCTACTTAACTTCTCACGTAAGAAACTCTGAGTGCAACTCACAGTGTCGTAACTTAGTGGCAGGATTAAGAAGCATTCTGCTTTTTAAATTTTTTAATGATCAGATATCCTATTTATGAACAACTGCCACATCATAATTATGGTTTTTTAAAAACTAATTATTGAGAAACGGCTGTACTCAAATAATAAAAACATTTAACCTAGTAAGTTATATACATGTAGTATTTTTAAGTAATGTAGTTCATGTACATGCTAACTAATACCTTTCCGCTGTGGAAAATTCCTTTACTTTTATGCTGACGTCCTCTCTGTGGCGTAAGTCATAGAATGTCAAGGGTGGAAAGGACTTTAGAGGTGACATGCTATGACCTCCCTGCAGCTCAGGCCCCTGAGGCACGGGGGGTGAAACTCACGCCCACCCCCAGCGGACCCAGCAACACAGCCCTGGACTCTGGCCGCCGCGGCCTGCTGACCCTGTGGTCTCCAGCGCCCATGTTTCCGTTGTACGTATGCACGTGGACTAGGCCACGTGTGCCTGATTCTCCCAGACGAGCACGAACCCCCCTGCTGAAGGGGATAATGTACGGTCCCAAATTCGGCCCAAGGCAGTTTTAAAAACAGGAAACTCAAAAGTTCATCCACTGTGTACTTGAACCTCCTCTGCGTGGAAGCAGCTCTCAGGACGGCCTTATCTCTTCCCGGTTTTGTTCTGCGGCTTCTCATGCTGCACTGGAGCTTCCCGAGTTTTCTGCTCTCACACCTTGGTTCACCCTCCCTCCCACCCTGACCTTAAAGCTTTGTTCTTGGTTCTAAACTGATCACTTATTTTGGCTCCTGACAGCAGTTGGCCGAAGCAGACAGACCAGTCTTCGGAGAGTTTTACCATCCATCCATCCATTCGTGCCTTCATGCATTTGGTGATTTCTTCTGCCCCTAGTGAGTGGGAGGCCCTGATGGAGGCAGGGAGGGGGCGGGGATGAGGAAGCGCCACTGTCCGGGAGTTTGTCATTGAGCAGGGAAGCCAGACATGTGAAAAACCAAACCAAGACAACTGGGGAGTGCCAAACAGGTGCTAGAGAGCACTTGAACTGCTTCCAGGTCTTTGTCAACATCCACGTCCACAATAAATCTACAGGCTTCAGTGAAAGCCAAGTGTTTGCTATGTAAAGTCCCTTTGTCTGTGTGCCCTGGGACAAGCCCTTCTCTCTGGGTCTCCCTTCCTGTCCTGAGAAGGGAGTGCTGCTGCACCTACATCGTGGGTCCTGGGGCTCAAGCCAAGTGCGCATTCCTTGCCTGGGTCGTGCCCCCAGTTCCCAGCAGCCGTGGAAGGCGCACTCGCCCAGCACCCAGTTCTTGTGAACTGATGAGCTGAAGGGGTGTAAATGTTGCCTCCCACCCGCCCCTCCAAGTCCATTGCCATCCCCACCTGCCACCCATGTAGACATGCAGGTGCTACCACTGCACGGCAGACTTGATTCATTCACCCCAGGAAGTCCATTGAACCTACTATGTGCCAGGCCCTGTTCTGTGCAGTAGGGATCAGCGGCGAACAAGAAAATGCCTCTGTCCTTGGGGAGCCTACCCCCTAATGGTGGGAGACAGAAACAAGCTAGTAAGTGAACTAACCATTGAGCAAGAGAGCAGACAATTCAGTGAGCCCTGCACAGTGTGCAGCCAGAGCAGAGAGGAAGGAGTGGGATGAATTCGGACTGAAGGATCGGGGCATGCTCCCCACAGAAGGTGGGTCTTCAGCCGGAATACAAGTGTGAGGTCTCAGCGAGGGGGAGAAGGCTATTCCAGCCTCAGTGATGACTTCCCAGGATGCTAGCAGACAGTCTGGGTCCACGGGAACTTCCAGGCGGGGTCTCATCATGCCTGACATGTTGACAGACTTCAGCTTCCGAGCTGGAATCCCACTGCCGACCAACTCTGCAGCTTCAGGCCTGTGTACTGAGGGGGAGGGGACAGGGATGGGGACAGAAAGAAGTGAGCTTTGCTGAGAGGCCAGGCCCTGGTCCTGGGATGTCACTGTCACAGGCCCATCACTCAGCCTTCCCCAGGGTCTCACTTCCCTCCCTTATCCAGTGGGGAGGTTCAACCACCCTCTCCAAAGGTGCTGCATGCTCAGAATGCCTGCTCTGTCCTTGTCCTCGTCAGCTTTGCTAACGTGGGAGCTGTAAGTCTGGTTGAACAAGGAGTTTATGAATGAGACATGCTGTTCACCAGCCATCAGCTGCTTTTAGAGCTCATATCTGAATAATTTTTTTCTCTCCAGTTGTTCAAAATTTGAGTTTTTAAAATGTGCAGATCTGGTGACTTTTTACAGCTTTGGGGGTACATTTTGTCCAGGTATGGGCTACAAGGAAAGGGGCTCGGTCATCCCTAGGTTGAGAACTAGTGGGAAATGTTCGGGGTCATTTTGCATGTCACCAGTTTTATGCTAAGCTGGCATCAGGATTATTCACAAAGTGATTTCTAGAAGCAGATGATGGCTTCACAAGTGCAGTGGTCTCCAAACTGTTCTTCCCTGCCTTGATTTACAGACACAGATATCCGAGAAAACAGTGTATTTCCTTAGGATTAGCTGACCATGTGTTCAGACACACGTGTGAACATGACAAATAGAGGTAATAACATAAGCTGAAACGTAAACAGTGCTTACGTGTGCCAGGCACTGTTCTGAGTGCTTTATAAGCAGTTGCTCGTTTAATCTCCACAACCACCGCCTGAGCTGGGTCCTCCGGTTACCCTTTCACAGCGGCAGGGGGCGGGGCGGAGGGAGGGGCGGGACAGGCAGGCTGGGTGGCTGCAGGCTCTGATTTGGGGCCAGCTGACCCCACAGAGGCCGTCCCTCAAGTGCTCGTGCCAGGGTGTTCCTGGCACCGTCACTGCCTCGGGGCTGAGCTTGCTGGCCCGGGGCCAGGGACACACAGGTGGCCCTGGCTGAGAGGTGCACATCTGG